GAAGTATGCCGTTTTCGTTACTGATTTCTGAGTTACATCGGTCCCTTGTGGAATGTCCATCGATCTCTCTGAAATAACGGTTTTAGCCTGTTATCGTCGATCCAAGAGCTCAGAATGGACGGTTGTGGAGCAGAAATGTTGCGTGTGAGGGATCCATCGAAACCGTGGCTTAACATGTGTGTGGATACGAATCCTCTCCATGGAAAATATGACCAGTCGGTTCAATTAGCCATAGCGCCCATCAATTTGAAATACCATGCACCTGCTGTAAACAGCGCTATTGATGTAAGTTGCTTCCAACTTTATTTTAGCATTTTTTCACATAAATGGGCATGAGTGCCGTTTTTCAAGGTCTTCAAACCTCCAGAATCGGTGAAACTGAATCAACTGGCTGCAGCGGCTATGTCTCGTTACGAAGAGGTAAGGAATCTGGAAGACTGTCAAGACAATCGTGTTTTGCCGCGACCTCGCGCGCGGCGTCTCGCAGAAGTGGACGCGCTCAGATGGCGTGGGGTGTTCCACGACGATAAGAAACCTGATGTTCCTAAATTATGATCTCTCATGTTCAGAGCGCGTTCATACTTCGCGATCCGGTCGTTGATCAAGCCTTTGGATCGCGCTATCGAATCGCTCGAGTGTTTGGATTGCGAAAGTATAAACGCGCTCTCACCGGCTGACATTATAACATCGTAAACGCGGCTGCGAACTATCATGTTGTCGCATGCGACGTGCGGCATCGCGCCACCCCCAGCGGCGCGGCGAATAAAGATTGTCTTGGCACGTACCCAACGAATCTTTACATTCCCAAGTGTGGTTTAGATTTTTTGAGAAGTTTGATTGTTCCTGTTTATAAGTACCAAGTTCGACTTTTTGTAAGTTCTGGCACGACGAAATGTTTCCATTTGTGTTACTGTATAAATTTTTTTCCTACTTGTAATTTTAAATTAGCTTTCAGTTTGAATGCTATGCTTTTCATTTACTAATAGAACCCCATACTTGTGTTCTAGGTCAAAGCCCGATCTGTAACTGGATTGGCGCATGCGGTTGAGAATCGGTCTCGTCTTGTATTGGACATCCAAATTCAACCCACCACCATCTATGTTTCTCAAGGAGGAGTGTACGACTCTCAGAAGCCGACTATTTTGGCTGATCTCGGTCATCTCAGTGTTACAACAGTGGAAAGTGATCCTGTGAGTTTTGTTTACTTCTGCTTTTACTATTACTCACAGGGCGCATCATTAGTTGGGGAGTTTGGTCGGTTCCGTACGAGCCCCTTCTCAACAACAAGCAAAAACTACCCCCCCCCCTTTTTTTCAACGTTCCTGAAACAAGAAATCAACTATCAAAAAAATTTTTCTCAGCCCGTATACGACCCCTCCACCCTCTCTCTCCCAGCGACCAACTCGTCCCCCTGTTGGGGAATCCCCAACAACTATGTGCCCTGATTACTTATCAGGTATCAAGCAAGAATCGCTTCTTGGCGTATTTGCATTCTCTAAATTTATATTATACTTTGTGCTCCTTTATGCTGGGCTTTTTGCAAGTTTTGTCCCGTAGCTATCTCCATGCCTTCTAACACCGCTCCAACAGATTGCGACGGTATCAGCTATAAG